CTTTGGACGCTTTCTTGCATTCTAAGGCACATTGATTATCATATGAACTTCCAATGGTTTATTTTTTATTTCTATTTGATTAAACTTGGCCAAAGCTTGAGGAAACTTGATGATTAAGGAAGGGAAACAAACACATGAACCTTTTGAAATATCTTGAGAAACAAGCAACCAAACTTTGAGATATCCTTGATCAAATGATGTTGAATGATGCTTGAGGAGAGTGTGACCTAAGATTATAGGTCATGATTTGATGAATTAACCTTTGAAAATCAATGGTTAACCATACTTTTGACTTAAGCAATTCAAAACCCTAATTGAAGAAACATTACTTGATCTTCTTGATTCAAAACCTTATCTTGCAAAAGCAAAAAAGAACCAGGCATATTTTTGTATTTTGTTATGATTAGTGAAACATAAACCATATAAATACAAAGGTAAAATATACACAAAGAGGTGTCAGGAGACAACCAAGTTTTTAATCTTGACGCAACACAAAGATGAAAATGAGATGGGATCTTAGGGGTAAAAATTACGGTATGACACCTAAGTTTGTACGTGTCCAAATATTGCTCTCATACTTAGGGTGTTAGGTAAATATTTAATCAATCCATGAATGGATCATTGGAAAGAAGCCTAAAAGGTTATGAGGTATTTAAATAGAACAAAAGATTATATGCTCACATATAGGAGGTCAAACCAGTTGGATATCACTAGATATTCCGACTCTGATTTTGTTAGATGCCAAGATAGTAAAAGATCCCATTCAGGCTATATCTAAATGTTTGTTGGTGGAATAGTTTCTCGGTGCGGTGCAAAGTAAGCTCTTACGACTTCATCCACCATGGCAGCAAAGTTTATAGCATGTTATAAGACATCAAACCATGGGATTTGGTTGAGGAACCTTGTCAATAGGTTGCAAATTGTAAAAGAAATTGCAAGATCACTTAATTTAAATGATGACAATAAACCAACCATCCTATATTCCAACAGTAATAGGAGTTCGAATAACTCAAAACATATTTACATCAAGTTACTAGTTGTTAAGGAAAGGGTATAAAGTATACAAATTTCCATAGAAAACTTAGGGACAAACTCCATGGTAGCAGATCCTCTTACAAAAGGTCTTCCACCCAAGGTCTTTCATCAAAACACTACTCACATGGGTGTTTTTCGGTTATAGGAAATTTTAATTTAGTGGGAGTTAGTCATTTATGAATTTTATGTTCTATGTTTGGTATTATTTATGCATACTTTAATTTTGGATATTTTCAATAAATAAAGTTTGATATTCAACTATTCACACTTTCTACAATAAGGTAATTGAATGATCTCACTAAAGTAAAGTAGGACAAATAGAAAATCAACATTTATAGACACACTTCATGTGATTTTTATGCTACACATTTTTTGATGAATCTATGCCATTTAGTTATATCACTATAAAAAATCATTTATGGGTTTAGTTATGATTGATATAACAAAAATCACTTTGATTTTGTATGCTGACAGGAGTAATGAATGAGATAATTTGGATATGCTTAAAGAATATGATGGCAAATTTGGAGCTCATAAAGTCTAACATATGTGTAAAATAACATATGTGACTAGTGGAAGTTGATAGAATTTTTGGGTCACAAATGTAGTATTACATGTGTTAGGGTCATTATTTAATCAACCAAAACTATAGTGGTCTAATTAATATTAAGTTTGTGGCAAAAAGCGTAAATGTCATGAAAGGTAAGGTTGTTGTGTAGATACCCTAGGTCAATAACTAATTTGATAAGGGGCCAAATTAAAATATTGAAAACTAAGAAATAACCCTAAAGTTATTTGTATGGGTTATGGTCCCCATTTGTAGAGCAAATTAAAATACACGGTTTATCAAGATTTTCTCTTCATCCCCATCAGAAGAGATTCAAGGAATGGAATGAGAAAAGGGAATTCTTCTTGGCTGCATCGATCTTGACCTTGCATTAGGGATGGAGCAACCACCTCTTCTTACAGAATCTAGTACCTATGAACAGAGGAAATATTATGAGAAGTGGGATCGCTCCAATCGCATGAATCATAATTTTGCATGTTTTGAGGTTAATTTCGCTTCAGTACCTATAAAACATTAAAGTTAGACTCTAGAGAAACTACTAACATTATTTTTTCAATGAAGAGGCGTCCGAACTACCAAAAGCCAAATGATATTGAAAAATACATCTATGTCGAAGATGGAAAGTCGGTGGAGGTTGAAGCTGTATGCCATTTTAGATTATTATTGTGTCCCTGATTTTAATTTTATTTGAAAGACACTTTTGTGGTGACGTCATTCAGATGGAATTCAATATTGTTTCTTATTTGAACAAATCCGATTTTTTTATGTTAATTGGGAAACAATGAATTTGATCTGTCTTTCAACTTAGATATTTTTAAACTAGTTCATTTATGGATCATGATAATCTACATTTGTTGGACAAAATAGCTACCTATGGAGAATCCTTTAATTTGGAATCACGTGGTACTAAGTGTAAAATTGATATAATAATTCATTAGCATTATGGCACAAGCGTCGGGGTCACATCTTTAACAATATAGTCCAACGAGTAGTGTATGATGGAATTTTGGTTAAATGTGTTAAAGGTCTCCAATGTTGACTTCACAAACATTGATGTTTGTGTTAAATGACTTAAAGGTAAACATACCGAAATAAAGAAATTTAGGCCATACAGAGCTTCAAATATCTTAGAATTTATACATACGAACATTTGTGACCATTTCATACACCTTCTTTGAAATCGTCAACAATATTTTACATCATTCAAAGACGATTATTCTAGATATTACATATTTTTTATACATGAAAAGTCTCAATCATTGGATGTATTCAAATTATTTAAGGCTAAAGTTGAGAATAAACTCAACAAAAGAATTAAGGTTATTAAAAATGACTATGACGAAGAATATTACAGAAGATATGACGATTCAGGTGAATAATGTCTGGGGCCTTTGGCTAAATACCTAGAGGAATGTGGAATGGTCCCAAGGTACACCATGTCAGGGTCACTTATCATGAATATTATAGCTGAAAGACAAAACCAGAATCTTAAGAATACAGTAAGGAGTATGATTTATCATTCTACCTTGTCAGAGTCACTAAAGTCACTCTGGGGAGAGACACTAAAGACTGCAACTTACATTATAAATAGAGTAGAAACCAAGGAAGATTCCAAAACACCTTTTGAGATTTAGAATGAGAGAAATCCTATTTTGAGCCATTTTCATGTAGGGGGTATCCACCTGAGGCAAGGCTTTATAGGCCAATGAAAAAAAATTGATTCCTAAACAGTGAGGAGCTACTTTATTGGTTATTCTAAAAGATCTAGAGGATACAAATTTTATGATCCAAAATTAAACTCATTTTTTTAGACAAGAACAACCACATTCTTTGAGGATATTGATTTTTAGGGGGGGAGAATTAGGTTAGAGACTTTGGTTTAGAGGAAAAATCGGTAGCAATTCCAAAATTGATTCATACAGTTTCTTTTTGTCAAGCAAGTATGAAACCTCCATAAAGGATTTTTTAATTTCCTCCTACCAAAGATGATTTGGTAATTCATGAAGAACAAGTTCAAAATTCTCAAGAACAAGTGTTACAAGAACTAATACCTTTTCGAAGATCCACTAGAGAAAGGAGAAATGTTATTTCAGATGATAACATAGTCTTTCTCGCAGAACATGGGGAAAATAGTGGTATGATGGAATATGATCCAATAAACATTCACCAAGCCATACAAGATTACAACTCCAAAAAGTTGATTGGATCAATGAAGGAGGGGTATAATGCTGGAAAAAGTTTTGCACTTCAACTATCTTTGAGTTTTGATGATAACATAGCTTAATTTGTATAGATAAAAAATTATGACTCTAGAGAAGTCGAGTATGGACAAACCATACTCTAAATAAAGCACATATGAAGTCTGGTCTTTGCAAAATTTGGAGATTGACAGAATACGAAGATTGGCAGAATCTAGAGATTAGCAAAATCTGAAGCAAGTTGAATCTGAACTGAAGACACACTTTGAAACAAAAGGAACAAACAAAGTGTGTTTTAATGAATTCAAACTTTTGAATTGTCAATTCAACACTTCTTAAGCTATTCATCCATATCAACTTAGATATTGACTTTGAAGATCAACTTTATTAATGACTTTGATATTCCAAGCTTCTGTAGTCTTAGAACTCTGAACTCTATAGAATATGAAGTCTCATTTTCCAAAGTTCTGAAGACAGGCTCTGACTCTACTCAAGCTTAAACAAACTTTATTTGAAGTCTCTCACTAAAAGTTTTTTATAAGAAGAAGAGTAACTGGAAAGATTACAAGCAGTACAAGATTAAATACCCCTTCCAATACTCTAAGAAGTATGATAAAGGACAATACTATTGTACCAACGTGTGTTCCTTCATTTCATCCTCCCATTCATTACATGCTGCAAGCACCACTCCTATGGTACTATCAATCATCTCCAACATCTATATTTTTTTGTGGATATTCCAACTTCACCCTCTAACAAATCAATTTCATTACCTATATAAAGAGGTTTTGGACTCTTGGAAATCAAGTGATCGAGTGTGAAATATTATAAAGAAAAAATGAAAAAGAAAGTTGACAACTTTATTTTCCGAGTCCAAGTGATTGTATACCAACTCGTAGATATGTTTAACAAAGCCATAAAAGTCATCTTCACCGCCATCTGTAACTCCTTTTAAAAATACACAACTGTTTATGGTTTTTTTCTTCAGTCCGTGTCTCAATGTGAAGTTTATATCTGTTCACGAAATATGTGTGCCATTTATTTGTGCTTTGAACAAGAACTTCAGAAAAGTTTCTTAAATGGACTATTTCTGGAGTCA